CAGAAAAAGCACTTCCGGGACATGCCAGTTTTTTTTTTTTTTTTGGGGGGGGGGGGGGGGGGGGGCTTTTTTCTTGGTTTAGTAAAAAGAAAAATTCCATCGCAACAAGTATCGCCGAAGCCGAATACATTGCTGCAGGAAGTTGTTGTGCGCAAATTTTGTGGATGAAGCAACAATTGAAGGATTATGGAGTGAATTGCGACAACGTTAGTGTAACACCCCGTGTTATGGCCTTCAATCCCGGATTAATTATTTAATTAATCCCGTTAATAATAATTAAATATAATTTAATTCGGTTAGGTTTCCCTTTAATTAATGAATAAGCTCCACCATGAACCGTGGACCCTTGCTTAAATTAGAGCCTTAAGCCTATTAGGAATAAAGAAAGTAAACCTTTTACTATTCAGATTCTAATTAGGAATCCTAGACCAAGTTATCTATTAGGAATAAAGGAAGTATGCCTTTTACTATTCAGATTATGATTAGGATTCTCTTTAATTAATTAATATGGTCCACTATGGACCATGGACCCTTATCCCTAAAACAAGTCCTTAGTCCTATAAGGAATAGAATTAGTAAACCCATACCATTCAGGCCCTAATTAGGAGTCTTAAATATATAAATAGGGATATAGAAGGCACCTAGATCTTTCACCACAATAATCTCTCACCACACAAGAAGTTCCAAGAATCCCCTTAGGAGAAATCAAGAAAGAAGAAAGCTTAAAGAAAGGCCCTTCATAGCCAAGGAATTAATTAAGGCTAAGAGGTAACCCATGTCTCAACAAAACCTATTTTCATAGCTATGATTCCCCTCTTAGGATTTCCCCATATTCTTGTGTATTGATGATTCGTTATATAGATCTTGATAATTGGTGTTATGATTCCATGGGTGATCTTGATGATCTTGATGATGATAAGAGGTTCTTGATGACTATATGATGTTCTTGATGATTATATGATGTTCTTGATGATTGTATGATGTTCTTGATGATTATGTGATATTCTTAACGAATCTTGATATTAGAAGATGAATTGTGTTCTTGTTGATTTAAAAGTGATTAGAACCCTAGTTTGTATTGTGAAACCCGTATGATATTATTCTTGGTGTATTGGGTGGGAATTCGCATGTTCGGGTGTTAATTATGTTTAGAAAAGCATGATAGGATATGTGCCGTATGTTTCTCGAGTTTCGATCCGTTAATTGTCTACGTGGTGTTGCCAATTGTGTTTAAAAGTGTCTAAGCATGGTTCCAGGTTCCACAAATGTTCCCGGGACGTTTTTGTGATAAAAGAGTCAGTGGGGGGTAGGGGACCCGCCACCTACTCGCGGCCAACTTTGACGTTGCCGGCAGCGGGCAGCCGGCCGGCAGGCGACTGCCCGCCGGGCACCCGCTGCCCGGAATCACGTCGCCGGCGGGTGACCCCTCACCCACCGGCTACCCGCTGGAAAATACCCCACCTTGGGATTTCGGCTTCCCCGTTTGATGTTCCCCCGACCCCCGTGGCGTCCCAACGGACTCCGTCTATCGTGCCTATGTCTAGTTTGATGTTTCGGGTACCGTTCGTAGGACAAACGTGTCTTGTATATTGCATGCTAGTTGAATTGGTATCCCGTTGACCTAGGTGGAAGAAGTATGAACCCTTAGGACTATTCTTAGCATGTGAAGGATCACACATAGGTTTTGTTATAAGATTTCTCCCCCTTCCCAATGTGTTAATGTGGGCTGCATGTGCTTGTTATGTCTTATGTGTGCATGATACCCCAATTCGGTTGCGATCGGATTGGTTATTTTTGAGCTGCGGTTCAGAAGCTGGCTACGGTCAGATTTACACTCTTGGGCTGCGGTCCACCGTTTGGTTGCGATCAAACGTTTTACATGAGCTGCGGTTCATATTTCCTGGCTGCGGTCAGATGACTACTCTTGGGCTGCGGTCCACTGTTTGGTTGCGATCAAACATTATGATGAGCTGCGGTTCATCGGTCGGTTGCGATCGACCCCTCCGTGTTGCGATACGGGGCAGGGTGCTGCGGGGCCGTGTCAGAGCTATATGCGCTGCCCTCATGTATGGGCATGCGATTGGTCTTGTGGCGCCAACAAAGTGTGCTTATGTGATGAGATATGGATGAGTTGTTGTTATGAGTGTCTTGAGAATGTGACTATAGGATTTATGCTTGCAAACTGTATATGCTTGGTTATGATTATTGGTTGTGCTTATCTTTATCTGTCGTGCCTGTTCCCTATGCTAGTAAACTGTATATGTTTGGTATAACTGCTGACTGTGCTTATCTCTATCTGTCGAGTCGATCCCTGTTTTAAAAGCTAGAGTCTCTTAGGATATATCTTGATGCTTCAAAATGGTTTTCATATATCTATATATATATATATATATATATATATATATATATATATATATGTCTATATGTATTGTATTTCAACGCGTTGGAGTGGGTTACCAGCATCTCTCGCTGAACAGATATATTTGGCTTTCAGGCACTGACGAGTAGGCACTGGAGCGCGCTAGAGACCCGAAGCGTAGAGTAGATAGTTTCCCTTTCGGCCTGCGTGCCATGCTTATGTATTAACATTATTAAGGAATTTAGTTAGTTAGCTTGTGCATCTGAGTTCTCCAGCTCAGGTGTGACATAGCACCCCATACCCTTATGTTTAGTAATGCTCTGTTTGAGATTGAATAAGAGAATACCTTTATTATATAAGTCTTTAAAAGTTTAAAAATTTCGGGGTGTTACAGTTAGCATATATTGTGACAATACAAGTGCAACTGCTATCACTCACAATCCAGTGCTTCATTTAAGAACCAAACACATCGATATACGACATCACTTCATAAGGGATCGTGTTGAAAGGAAAGATCTAAAAATCGAGTACATCCCTACGGAGAATCAAGTTGCAGACATTATTACAAAGACTTTATGCGAAACAAGATTTGCAACTTTAAGGCATGAATTGGAAATGCTAGAAATGAACTAAGTATCACTGATCTTAATCTCTTGATTCAAAATTATACTTATACTTAAATTATGTGTTTTACGTGATTGCATGTTAGTATATGCTCAAATCTTACGTGATTATTTTTGCAAAATGTTTTAGAAATTTAATTATGAAATTGCATGCAAGATGTTACGTGAAATTATGTGCCATGCAAATTATTTTCGAGAAATTGGAATGTTTAAGTAAATTTTCATGATTTGTTTTTAATTTCTTGATTTACAAGTAATTGTTCATATTTGTGTTAATTTGATTTTTTTTTTTTAAATTCGTATATATTGCATATTTATGTGGTATATATAATTTATTTGTTTTACCGTGCAAAGTCTATTTTTATTTGGTATCTAGAACAATCTTGCTAGTTTCTAAATATTTGTATATGTGTTTATATTTAGGAAATTTGTTTACTAATGTGTTTTAGTTTATACCGTGTGTTTTTATATGGAATTTGGAAAGTTTGTCTTTTTTTTGAAAGGAGCTTGTACGACATTTATTCAAAATATGCAGAAATAGATGCTGGTGGATCATAGTCCGAATACATACTAGTCGACTGAGTAAATGCAGTATATGCTAAAGTATGAGCTAAATAATTATCTAGTCTAGGAACATAATGAAGCAAACAATAATCAAAAGATGATATACTAGTCCTGCAACTATCAATGGCATAACCCAAGTAAGACCTTGACGAGTGTGTCATAGATGATAGGTATTGTTGAAGCACCAAACAATCCGTGAATGTAACACCCCGAAATTTTAAAACTTTTAAAGACTTACTAGTACTCCACCCGTGCGATGCACGGCTAAAATAAAATAAAAAATAGTATATATATATATATATATATATATATATATATTTATTTATTTATTTATATATTTATATATTCAATTATTTATTTATTAGTTTATTAGTAATAGTAATATAAAAATTATATTGGCATCTCGAAAAGTATGTAAAATATAACTTCATATTGCATAGGTAACAAATAATTAATAATATACAAATTTTATAAATTGTTAAAGACTTATTTGTATACAACATTCGACGTTGAAGAAACATACTCTCCATTGTCGCTACAAATAAGTAACTTAAGACCATTCGGATTATTAACCCTAGACAAAGCAACATATAATTGTCCGTGAACAAAGACTGGTTATTTCAACAAAAGTCCAACTGTAGACAATGTTTGGCCTTGACTCTTGTTTATTGTCATAGCATAAGACAACATAAGTGGGAATCGCCTTCGTTTGAATTTAAATGGTAGCCTAGTATCTGACGGTGTAAGAGACAATCGTGGGATCAAGACTTGTTCACCTACATTACTACCAAAAAGAATCTTGGCTTCAACAACATGATCTGCTAGTTTAGAAATAATTAATCTTATCCCATTGCAAAGGCCAGCTGAACGGTCTATGTTTCGCAGTAGCATGACTGGAGATCCAACTTTAAGAGTGAGCGAATGGTTTGGCAAACCCGAGCATTTCAGGCCATATATATACACAATTAATAATATAAAAATCTTATAGATTATTAAACACCTCTTTATATACAACGTTCGATGTTGAAAAAATATACTTTCCACTGTTGTTGCAAATAAGTAATTTAAGACCTCTTGAATTGGTAACTCTAGACAAAGCAATATATATTGTCCATCACCAAAAACCAATTTTTCAACAGTAGTCCAACTGTAAAAAGCTTATGGCCTTGGCCCTTGTTTATATATATATATATATATATATATATATATAAATATATATATATATATATATATATATATATAGTGTATAAATTATTATTAAAAATAAAGTGAATTGTTTATTTATAAAAAAGTGAAATTGTTTATTTAAAAAACAATCAGACCATTTATTAAACAATTATACACACGCACACACATGGGTAACAATCAGCCCATTTATCCTACCAATCCAAAATGCTAATCATCGGCCCAAATAAGGACCCACGACCCACATATAAAAGACCTAAGAAACCTAGAACACTCCGATGTTATTGCAGCTCGCCTCTGTTTTCGCTTCTATGTATCGTTTCTGGAAACTTCACCACAAAGAAATTGCTCAAACTATAATCTCTACTCATTTCTCTCGATCTCCTTTTTTTTGTCTATTCATCGACTAACCAATTACTTCTGAGCTTTGAAGTAACCGACTCACAACTGCTCACTGATTACCCACAGATTCCGGCGTTGGCACTGCGGTTCTTCGTCGTGCGAAAACCCACAATAAAGATGCGAAAAACTTCAACTTTCCCGTAGTGCGTTTGGCGGTGTAGAATTGCAGTCAGCTACATATTCTGGTAGCGGCAGGTGTTCGTCTTGCGGAAACAATCTGGGCGGCAAAGCAAACAATACCATGCATCGAACAGAGACTACAACATCTGTAAGGTAAATTATACAGTTTTCTGAGTTTGCATTTAATTAAGTATATTCTTGTTTAGACGGATGTCTTTACTTTGATTTTAAGAAGATTATACACATGCAATAATTTTCAGATCTAGAAATTTATGCGTATATCAACAAATAGTTATCTCTGAAGTTTTTTTTTTTTTTTTTTTTTTTTTTTTTTTTAAATCTGTTCTGTGCAATATTTTAGTTAATATGTGCCTATGTGGCGTTTTTATATACATTTTTTATTTTTATATGCATGTATATTGTCGGATAAATTAGGGTTTATTATTATATTGTATAGATTTAACATCCCATGTGTTCAATTTATATGTCAGATTTTTTTGGAGTTTATTTTAGTTCAAATGTGATTAAAATTTGAGAATTGTTTATTTAACTGTTGAGAAAAATCTGAGTTCATTATTTTACACATAAATGTACTTAATATATTTCAGTTATGATGTGAAACTTTTTTAATTACTTTTATCAATAAATATTTTAAAATATTTTAAAAATATAATAACAGAACATATATAAAATAGATTTCCAATGATTTAATTTTTTGTTTTTTGTTTTTTTTTTAATGTTTTTTCATTTACCTCAACATTAGAGTGTAAGCTTTTAAATGCAGAATATAAAATTTCTATTATTTGTATGCACATGTCCTCAAAACACTTCGGCAAAATTAAGGCTTTATTATTATCCTCTATACATTTAACATCTCAAGTGTTTCATTTATATATCAGATTTTATTTTTGGTTCACATGCAATAATATTTTATAACTGCTTTCTTTCACAGTTAGCAACAAATTTGAGATAATTATTTTTGACATAAATAAACTAAATATTTTTGTTTATTTTTATGATTTAAAGTGCATAATATAATATTTCTATTATTTGTATGCAGATGTGCACAAAAAACTATGGCAATATTGGACAAAGCTGGAATTAAGCTCTCAATTTACAGCCACAAAGAACAACATACAGAGAAGGCAGTTTAGCGCAGGTAATGTTCTTTTATAATTTGTTGAACTACTCTCTTTACATCTACCTATATATATATCAGCTTACTATTCATTTATTCCTGTCACTCTACATGTGTATATCTAGATATATATGCAGAAACTAACGAAGACAGTGAATCACAAATTTGTAAAATAGAATTGCATATTAAATATATAGCCGCAGGAAAGAGCAAAATTTTTCACTTTAAACAATACTCAGTAACATTTATTGCTGATTTTAATTTCTTTCAATTGCATAATTTTTTCTAGACTTAACACATTTCTACTTCAAAAAAAAAAATGGTGCAGATTTCACACACAGGTAAAGCAAATCAGGAACATATTGCAGATGAAATATCAAGTCAATATTTCATAGAGTTTGAATGTAGAATAGCAGGTATGCTTTAATTGTACCTTTATCTTCAACATCGTGTTTTCTTTTTCCACATATGGTAGTTGACCCCGTCAATTTCTTCGTTGTTCTTGCAATTCTTAACTATGAACTTACAAAACTTTTGTTTGAGAATGAATATAGAGGGTAGATCTTTGTCTCTTAAATGGCATGTATATATAGACACCAACTTTTAGAGAATAGAAAACTCACCGTCAAACATTAGTATTTGAGAGTCAAAGCTTACCATCAACAATTAATGTCTGCTAGTAGGGCTAGGTGTATGGGAAAAGTAGTAATATTGTGTTATATTACCTTCTATCAAATTTCAATTTATAATAAATTACTACTCACAATTATAATAAGTATTTATATATTATTATATATTTATAGTCACACTTCAGTAAGAATTTATATATTTATATTCATATTTCAATAACTTTTTATTCATACTCATATTTCAATAAGTATATATATATATATATATATATATATATATATATATATATTGTAATTATTTAACCTAGCTTGCAAGATCATAGCTCCCAATCTGCTTTATTTTCACCAAGTAGTTTGTGAAAGCCTTCTGGCCCCAAGAACAGTTCAACAGGATTCACAATTGGAGCAAATGCTGACACCAATTGCAAATAAACAACAGCAATGTATCAATAAGAACAACATGAGTGCCAATCAGAACAGATAGTGTTGGTTAACTTAACCATTCGGGACATCTTAACCATGAAAAACTATATCAAATTTGATTGGCACTTGACCCATCCCCTTACTCGTGTAATTCCGATCACACACCATGTAAATGTAGTGAAGATGACACGTAGCTATAACAGATTTTGTTGGAAAGCAAATGAGTAACCATTTCTTTTGTTCAAGAACATGATATTAACTTACCTTCTACTTGTCCAAGTTTTTGAGGTAGATTGTTAGCGCTGCATAACCACCCATTGAGTGACCGGAGATGGATGCCGTTGCTGTATCAGCCTGTGGAAAGTGTTCAGAAACCTGTAACATCTTCTTCGTTGATTCCAGAAACCTGTAATTTGTTTTTGGCTTTGTGTTCATATAATATGTTTTTTCGCTTTGTGTTGAATGGACGATGAAGCCTCTGAGTATGTATCTATATACAAGCGTGGAATTGAGATACAGCAGCAAGACAACAGTACACGCAAATAATAAAAAAAATACAAACTCTGTGTAGAATAGACAGCTCCCATACCCATTTACTTGAAAACACACGCTTCCTATCAACTCAGGCAATAGGCCACTCCCCTAAAAATCAGGCCTCACACGATAGGATTCTGATCAATTTTAGATGGGCGGGACAGTAGACCAATTTGATTGGCCAACTAAGCAGCAAAAATTAAAAAATAAAAAAACGACAACGTTTAGCATGGGCGGGAAAATGCTGAAATCTGATTGGCTGAAATCCTCTTGCTTTAATATGTATATAGATATAGATATGATAAAGGTAAACGATCATAAATTCCAAATACGTTCGTAACAGCACGGGGTGTTATGCCACACCTGAGCTAGAGAACTTAGGTGCACAGGCTAGATTCTAACAATCTCAATAAGTATCAGTACAAAATGTGGCACGCAGGCCGAAGGGAAGAACTAACTAATCTACGCTCCACACCTCTAGCGCGCTCCAGTGATCTACTCGTCCATGCCTGAAAGCCAAATATATCTGTTCAGCGAGAGATGCTGGTAACCCACTCCAACGCGTTGAAATACAATACATATAGAGATATATATAGATATACGAAAACCATTTTGAGCATGAAGGTATATCCTACGAACTCTAGCTTTTAAAACAGGGATAGACTCGACAGATAGAGCTAAGCACAAGCAACAGCTATAACAAGCATATACAGTTCACAACAGGCAAGATAGATAAAGCTGAGCACAATTAATAATCATAACCCAATATAAACAATCCCCAACATAAATCCCACAGTCACATCCCAAAGATGCTCATAACCACAACTCATCCATATCTCATCACGCAAGCACACTTTGTTGGCGCCACAGGACCAATCGCAACACGGAGGGGTCGATCGCAACCGACCGATGAACCGCAGCTCATCATGATGTTTGATCGCAACCAAACAGTGGACCGCAGCCCAAGAGAATATCATCTGACCGCAGCCAGGAAATATGAACCGCAGCTCATGTAGAAACGTTTGATCGCAACCAAACGGTGGACCGCAGCCCAAGAGTGTAAATCTGACCGCAGCCAGCTTCTGAACCGCAGCTCAGGAATAACCAATCCGATCGCAACCGAATTGGGGTATCATGTACACATAACACATTGCAAGTACATGCAACCCTGCGGGATCTGCGTGGTCCTCGTCTTCTGGGCTTAGGTTTCCCCCCTCGAGATTGTCCTCATTCCCGAGGTCAGCTTGAGTGCGGCTCATGACGAATATTTTCCCGGGAGTGCCGTAGTTTCCTTGGTGGGCGGTGCCCCCGTGTTGACCCACGGTGGTGGGGCGTAGCCTTTGGGGTTGAGTGCACTGGAAGGCTTTGTGTCTCTCTTCACCGCAGTTGAAGCATCGCCAGGGATTGCCCATGCAGTCCTTACCTCTATGGCTTTTTTTTGCATTTTGGGCAAGGGAAGCTTCTTGTGTTAGCTTCATTGTTCCCTAGGGGTGGCCTTTGATTGGTCAGATTGCTCGGTCTTGTGCCGGTGTCGTTTCTCGTCCTTTTTACAGGTGGTGCTCCACCCCCGGTGTTTCTCTTTCGTATTTGTTCCTGAACCCCACGTTGGAGTAGTTGGATTCGATAGAGATTTGCGGCACTGGAGTAAGCCTCGTTGAGGGTCCGAGGCCTGCTTACCACTAGTGCCTTTCGGGCTTCGAAGTTGAGGCCCGATACGAATCTTTCTATTTTGGTCACCTCGGTGGGGACTAGTTCTGGTGCGAAGCGTGCTAGTTCGAGGAATCGTTTATGGTATTCCATGACGGTAGCCGTCCCCTGTTTCAGATGGAGAAACTCTTCGTACATGGATGCCTTTACGTGTGTTCGATAAAATCGTTCTCGTAGTCGTGCCTTGAGGTTTTCCCAGTCGAACCCCGGTTCTTGTCGGTAAGTGGGCCCCTCATGGATCCACCAGAGATCGGCCTCGTGTCCGAAGTAGAACGAGGCTATTTCTACGCGACGTTCTTCCGGGCATTCTACTACCCCTAGAATTTTGTCAAGGGTCCAGATCCATTCTTCTAGGACCACGGGGTCCTCTTACCCTGAGAACGTGGGTGGTCGGTGATTTGAAACTTGTCGGGCGATGTCTGAGTTCGCGTTTGATGGAGGTGGTGGGGGCCAGTTGTTGCGAAGGGCTACGTCGCTTAGTGCCTGAGCGACTTGTGTTAGTTGTTGTAGGGTCTGGGTCAAGGGGTCGTCTGTGGCGGGTTCTGGAGTCCTTGATTGTCTTCTGTTCGGTGCCATGCTACTGTCCTTCTGGGTCAACGTTTTATAGGAATGTTAGATCAGCGTCCAGTGTCCTGGCTTGATGTGATAAGTGGGAAAGGGTTTCCTTAAATAAGGGAAGGGTAAGGTTTACGTGTAGGTTTCACAGTCTCACCGTGCGTCCTAAGGTTCCTAAATCCTATGTTCCTGAGTACCTAGAGTCCAAACTTAATGTCCTAAGGTCTGGTCTTAAGAGTCGTTTACTAGGGTCAAACTTAGGCTCTGATACCAACTGTAACACCCCGAAATTTTAAAACTTTTAAAGACTTATATGATAAAGGTAAATGATAATAAATTCCAAATACGTTCGTAAGAGCACGGGGTGTTATGCCACACCTGAGCTAGAGAACTCAGGTGCACAGGCTAGATTCTAACAATCTCAATCAGTATCAGTACAAAATGTGGCACGCAGGTCGAAGGGAAGAACTAACTAATCTACGCTCCACACCTCTAGCGCGCTCCAGTGATCTACTCGTCCGTGCCTGAAAGCCAAATATATCTGTTCAGCGAGAGATGCTGGTAACCCACTCCAACGCGTTGAAATACAATACATATAGATATATATATATAGATATACGAAAACCATTTTGAGCATGAAGGTATATCCTACGAACTCTAGCTTTTAAAACAGGGATAGACTCGACAGATAGAGCTAAGCACAAGCAACAGCTATAACAAGCATATACAGTTCACAACAGGCAAGACAGATAAAGCTGAGCACAATTAATAATCATAACCCAATATAAACAATCCCCAACATAAATCCCACAGTCACATCCCAAAGATGCTCATAACCACAACTCATCCATATCTCATCACGCAAGCACACTTTGTTGGCGCCACAGGACCAATCGCATGCCCATACATGAGGGTCAGCGCATATAGCCCTGACACGGCCCCGCAGCACCCTGCCCCATATCGCAACACGGAGGGGTCGATCGCAACCGACCGATGAACCGCAGCTCATCATGATGTTTGATCGCAACCAAACAGTGGACCGCAGCCCAAGAGAATATCATCTGACCGCAGCCAGGAAATATGAACCGCAGCTCATGTAGAAACGTTTGATCGCAACCAAACGGTGGACCGCAGCCCAAGAGTGTAAATCTGACCGCAGCCAGCTTCTGAACCGCAGCTCAGGAATAACCAATCCGATCGCAACCGAATTGGGGTATCATGTACACATAACACATTGCAAGTACATGCAACCCTGCGGGATCTGCGTGGTCCTCGTCTTCTGGGCTTAGGTTTCCCCCCTCGAGATTGTCCTCATTCCCGAGGTCAGCTTGAGTGCGGCTCATGACGAATATTTTCCCGGGAGTGCCGTAGTTTCCTTGGTGGGCGGTGCCCCCGTGTTGACCCACGGTGGTGGGGCGTGGCCTTTGGGGTTGAGTGCACTGGAAGGCTTTGTGTCTCTCTTCACCGCAATTGAAGCATCGCCAGGGATTGCCCATGCAGTCCTTATCTCTATGGCTTTTTTTGCATTTTGGGCAAGGGAAGCTTCTTGTGTTAGCTTCATTGTTCCCTAGGGGTGGCCTTTGATTGGTCAGATTGCTCGGTCTTGTGCCGGTGTCGTTTCTCGTCCTTTTTACAGGTGGTGCTCCACCCCCGGTGTTTCTCTTTCGTATTTGTTCCTGAACCCCACGTTGGAGTAGTTGGATTCGATAGAGATTTGCGGCACTGGAGTAAGCCTCGTTGAGGGTCCGAGGCCTGCTTACCACTAGTGCCTTTCGGGCTTCGAAGTTGAGGCCCGATACGAATCTTTCTATTTTGGTCACCTCGGTGGGGACTAGTTCTGGTGCGAAGCGTGCTAGTTCGAGGAATCGTTTATGGTATTCCATGACGGTAGCCGTCCCCTGTTTCAGATGGAGAAACTCTTCGTACATGGATGCCTTTACGTGTGTTCGATAAAATCGTTCTCGTAGTCGTGCCTTGAGGTTTTCCCAGTCGAACCCCGGTTCTTGTCGGTAAGTGGGCCCCTCATGGATCCACCAGAGATCGGCCTCGTGTCCGAAGTAGAACGAGGCTATTTCTACGCGACGTTCTTCCGGGCATTCTACTACCCCTAGAATTTTGTCAAGGGTCCAGATCCATTCTTCTAGGACCACGGGGTCCTCTTACCCTGAGAACGTGGGTGGTCGGTGATTTGAAACTTGTCGGGCGATGTCTGAGTTCGCGTTTGATGGAGGTGGTGGGGGCCAGTTGTTGCGAAGGGCTACGTCGCTTAGTGCCTGAGCGACTTGTGTTAGTTGTTGTAGGGTCTGGGTCAAGGGGTCGTCTGTGGCGGGTTCTGGAGTCCTTGATTGTCTTCTGTTCGGTGCCATGCTACTGTCCTTCTGGGTCAACGTTTTATAGGAATGTTAGATCAGCGTCCAGTGTCCTGGCTTGATGTGATAAGTGGGAAAGGGTTTCCTTAAATAAGGGAAGGGTAAGGTTTACGTGTAGGTTTCACAGTCTCACCGTGCGTCCTAAGGTTCCTAAATCCTATGTTCCTGAGTACCTAGAGTCCAAACTTAATGTCCTAAGGTCTGGTCTTAAGAGTCGTTTACTAGGGTCAAACTTAGGCTCTGATACCAACTGTAACACCCCGAAATTTTAAAACTTTTAAAGACTTATATGATAAAG